CCTGCTCCTCTCCCCTCTCCTCACAACACAGGCAGCAGTGAAGCAGAGAAGGGAGAGAGCAAGAAGCTTGTGCCACTCACCCACTGCTCCAGTGCTGAGGTGCCTCTCTGGGCTGGTGGATTCCAGGGAGGATTGGAGTTGAAGCCCTCAAGCAGCGAGTGCTGGAGCTCTGCCAGCCCTTATCAACTGCAGCCATGCCAAAGACACCGGGTTTAATTACCTCACCCCAGCCTGCTAAAGGCCATGCAGCTATCAAAGCCACCCTCTTCTTCTGCACTGGCTTTTCCCTCAGTTAAGAGGTCTCGAAGCAGCCTGCTACTTACTACACAGCTCCTGCTGTGTGTGGAAGGACAGTCCTGCTGCAGCAGCAAGAGCTCTACCATCTCTTTCACTAGATTTAAGCCCAAGGCGAGTCTCTGGCCTTTGGGGACACGTCCCAGAGCAGCAGCCACCTTGATAAACCCAATTCAACAGCACCAATCCTTGGCACACACCTGGTTAAAGCAGCCCCTGAATCTGTGAAGCCACAACAGACTCATTTTCCTTGCAGATGTTCTGCACTAGATCATTGTTGTCCTCCACCTCCTGCCTGTCTGCAATCATCTGCTGCCTCTCATTTTCTGCCTAGATTGCACGTTCTCTGCAGCAGGGACCATCTTTTCATCCTGCAATTGCCCAGTGCTTGGCACAGCAAGATCTACTCCACTGCTGTGAGCCCTCAGGGTTATGGGGAACCCATTCCAACTGTGCTTAGAAACCCCTAAGAACTGGCCCCACAAGAATGTTGCATCACAGTTTCTCTGCCAGTTTGGTTCTTGTGTCCCAGGGAAAGGTGGTAGGAAGGCAGGGAGAGAAGAGACTGTACCTGGTAGTCTTGATCATCAATCCCAAATCTCTCCCGGAGGTTTCGGAACACCAGTGGACAATACTCCTTAAATTTAAAGCGACTTGGCAAGTTTTCCCTAGGGCAAAGCAGAAAAGAGAGTCTTGTGCAATGATCAGCTTGGGAAATCACACTCAATTCTTCTCCCACTTGTCTGCTAACCCCCCAGGATATCCAAGCCCCCTCCTACCTATGAGGGCCCTATTCTTCATGTATTTACCCTCTCAAGGGAAGCTTGTTTCTTTGGCTACCTACAAGAGCCATCTCTTGACAGGAACATTTCAGATCAGATCACTCGTGTGTCAAAAGAAAGGTCAACACACGACAACCCGTCTGACCCAGACCCCAAAGGAGAGGAGAGGGATCAGCTCCAGCCTGGCACGTTCCAGACGCCAGCATTCCAGAGCCAGCTCTGCTGCAAGGCCTCTCCTCACACAGCATTCCCCATGGCTGAGGGATGCTGCATCTCCTCCCTAGCAGATCTCTTCTTCTGCCCAGTGGGAAGCAGCAGAGAGGATGGTCCTGCCTGGCCACAGTGGGAGATGCTGTCAGCTCATTCTCAATGAGAATCCTTTGCACTAATACGTGGGAAACTAAAATCTCTGTAGGAGAAGAGGGAAGAGCAGATACTGCAAATTGTAAGTGCCAGAGAAGACAAACTTTTGAATCACACTCCCACTCTGAAAAGCTGATCCCTGTAAAACTGAGTGAAACTGAAGCATTAATCAAGGAGCACCACACACACACACAGGGTGGAGAACACGGCACCCAGCACCAGTCACAACCAGGGCTTCCAAAACGTCATCTTTGGGAAAAGGAGAAGGGGGTAACTCCATGCAAACCCCACGGGCCAGAGGTACAACACAGCTTCACAGCTGTCTCTTGCAAACAGTCTCAAAGAGACAAGGAACTTGGGAGGCCACAGAGAGCGATCTCCTGCCCTCTGCTCCATGGTCTTGGGATTTAGGTTGTTCTGCTCAGGACAGAACATCCAGAGAGGACACTGCAAGAGTCCAGAGATTGTTCTCCATCAGTTTTGTGCATAACCAAGATGTCCAAGGCCCTAGGGCTGGAGTTTGTGAACTCTAAACTGCCCAGTCCAGTTATCTACATGTAACTTGCTTTGTAGTGGTGCCACTTCTGAGCCTGGCCTTCCCAGACTTCTTATCCCTCAAAGGCCATAAACCAAACCATAAGACAGCATCTCAGTGACAGACTGACCCCCACGATGTCCTGTCGAGGGGTCTGGGCAGGGCACAGACTTGGGGCATGTGTCCAGCCATGCCACATCCTCTTGGCATTGCAACAGGGACCAAACCAAAAGGCCTTCACCCTGCCACAGCAAAGAACTTTAAGTACAGAGACAAACAAGTTGGGAAGCATCTACTTACTTGTTGAATAGATGATTGTCCACCTTAATCTTACTGTAGGCTTTAAAGTCATCGGGCATTAACATGACAGGGACAGGAACATTGCTGAGCTCATTGATCTAAAAGAGAAAGGAAACAGAGACTCAGACCCCAAGTTTCAGTGCCCTGCAATTACTGTCAACAGACTTCAGGGATGCCAAATGCCCCAGAAGCTGGTTTGGAAGCAATAAAACCCATCAGACTTTCAGAGCAACTTGCTGTGCTGAAGCAACCTGGAGAACACTGTGGTTACAAGCTGCAGAAGCACCTCACTCAGTCGTGGTGAGTACCCTTGAGCCAGCCTCAGCTCTTTCATCTCTTCACCTTCCCTGATCATCCAAGACACAGCTTAGGACTGAGACAAACCTACAGAAACAACAGATTTTTCTGTTTTAAATAAATCCCCTCTGCTTTCATTTAGGAAATGTTGCATCAGCCAATCTCTCAACCATGGATGACCCAAGTCTTCAACGTGGCCAGAGCAGACTGGGGGTAGCAACAGAGCACAGCTCCCCTGTGGCTGCTATTTCTATGCTTTTGCTGTCTCTTGTTGCTCTTATCCCACCTTCTCGAGAGGGATGAGTCACTCCACTAGATTGTTTTTGCTCCTTAGTCATGTGTGTGGCGAGCACAGGAATAGACGGAAGCAGAAGAATGAACCTGCAGCTACTATTGTAGAGCCAGGCTCATGCTACAGCACCCAACAGCAAAACAGCACCAGTAAAAACCTCGTACATAAGAAAAGAATCCACCTCTGGGCTGGATATGGCCACCCTGCTCCAGCCAAGCCCAGGCACTGACAAGGCTGGGCCAGATTCAAGAGCAGGTCAAGAGGCAGCACGATTCTGAGCTGCCTTGTCTGAGGACAGCCCCAGTGTCATCCATTCACATGAACATCACAGGAGCACCATGAGGCCCATCTCTCTGAACTGATACTAACACACTGGATTGAGAAAGTAATGTCATTCCAGCTCCATTCTTGTGCCAAGCAGGTAATGCTGGAGAGGAGCAGCCAACGCTGGCAACAGGGGGGTCTGGACAGGAGTCAGGCCTGGAGTCTGCTCCCAACACCAACATCTTGGGCAGGTCAAGTGACTTCCAACAGGCTTTTGGAAAGCAGCAGCACTTCCCTGCTGCCCGGGAACAGGGTCCAATCCACCAGCCTAAGGATATGGACTCCAGCTCTGGGATTCCCTGTGCCCTGCATGCAACAGAACACACAATACTGTCCAAACAGCTGCTGCCACATCACCTCCAAGGAGGCAGAAACCAAAGGAGGTACAAAGAAGCTGGTCCTGCAGCAATATAGAATCACACGGTTTGGGTTGAAGGGACCTTAAAGCTCCTCCAGCTCCAACCCCTGCCAGGGGCAGGGACACCTTCCGCTAGAGCAGGTTGCTCCAAGCCCCTGTGTCCAACCTGGCCTTGAACACTGCCAGGGATGGGGCAGCCACAGCTTCTCTGGGCACCCTGTGCCAGCGCCTCAGCACCCTCCTGGGGAAGAGCTTCTTCTTAATGTCTAATCTGCACCTAAAGAGGCTGAGGGAGGCCCCAGCTCTGGAGACGTGCAATGAGCTGTCTGATGCTATGAGCAAGCCTTTGACGGTATGGATTTGTCCCATCCTTTCTCCATCATTACCAATGATAAAACCAGAGCAGATTTAACAAATGTCAGACTGGAAAGACACACACACACTGCAATGAGAAAAGATGACTATTTTCAGAGCCTGCCATCCCACACAACAGATAAGCGGGAAGTAAACCGGGAACGGCTCCGTGAGGAGCAGGGATGGTGCTTATTAAAGCTCTGCCTTGGATTTGCTTCACAGCAGCACCGAGGAGCATTAAGCACTCCCATAAAGTGCTTTGGGATGTATGGAGAATGCTGCACAAATGAATGAATAACGTCATAGGCTTCCCATCACTTGTAATCACAATGGAGCAGGGAGGAAAATAACCCCTGACTTAAGCTAAAGGCTCAATCCCGCCCTGGGCTGCTCCTTGAGCTGCAGCTAGGAGAGAGGGAAGGCAAAAGGGATGTCCCAGATGCTGATGTGCAGCTCCCAGCTCCTGCAGGGAACTGCATCAGGCAGCCCCATGCACTGATCTCCCCTCAGGGTGAAGAGCAACCAGCTCATTCTGTAGCAAGAACAAGGTGCTGCCTCCAGCCACTACTTCTTGATGTCTAACAGGAGGGGAAGCTCCTTCCACACGCCTGTTCCCAGCCTCTTCCAGGCTATTAGCAGCTTGTTCCTGAGCGGAGGAAGGGAGCTGAGAGGGAACAGCCATTTGGAGATCGTCTCCTCCCTGCCAGGAATTGAGACACAAACGTTAGCAAAGTGAGATGTCAAGATGTCTCTGGATGTCCTCATTTCTGCCAAAGCACAAACCTCAAAGCAAACGTTGTACCTGTTGCAAGCCTCCTGACTGGCAGAAACGGTGCGCCAGGATTCCGCGGCTCATTTAGAAGATGCCCCCACTCTTCCCAAAATAAAACAGCCTGACAACAGTGAAACACACACACACACCCCGGAGGAAGCCTCTCCCCCCTTCCAGCTGCATACAGCAGAGCTTTCTGGATGCTTCGGGATTCCAGCTCCAGAGGAGACAGGGAGGAGGAAGAAGGGGACCACAATCACTGACTGGTCACTGACAGCCTGTTCTCCACCACACAAAGCAGCTCCCGGTCACTGCACCTTTGCTCCTGACACCAAGCTGAAAGCAAACATGTATGAGTAGGGGTGGTTTTGTCTCACCAAAAGGGACATGCACTGTGTGCTCCCACAGTAACTCCCACGCTTGATGCTTTCCTCAGGATGTCAAAGGGACTGGAAGGAGAAGCCCCAGCACTGCCTTGGAAAAGGGATATCCCAACCCCTCCCTCCTCACAGTACAAGGCTCAGCATCCAGCTCCCCTTCCTAAGGCTTATCAGGCCAGGTCCTGCAGCACGGTGCCAAGTGAAACACTAGGAGAGCAGCAGCAGACAGGACAGGGATCCTCTCCTGTGGCTCATCATCACAGCACGCTGGAATGTGAGCAGCCTCCGAGCGCAACGTGACTAACGCCTGGCACATGTTTGCTCTCTCGCCTTCTCCCCAGGGAGAGGCGTGGAGCAGGGATTATATATAGCAGAGTCTGTGTCTCGGAGTAGTTCTGCTACAGAAGGCAAGGTCACAGCAAGGTGCAGAGCGATGAGGTGCCCAGCAAGCCCCTGGCTCCTGGGGAGCCCTGTCCCATGGGTCTGACCCGCCTGGCGCCCACTAAGAGATGGCACCCGGTCACCCAGCCCCTGCCAGGACCTGGGGACGAGCTGCACAGTGAGGTCTTGGACGTGGGTCTTTGTCTGGCAGAGGCAGCAGCAGCCAGCAGAGGTGGTACAGCAGAGCCAGCCAGACAGCACCACATCACACACCTCGCTCCCCACCACAGGGGTGGTTGCAAGCAGCACAGTGGCTGCAAGGAGCAGGTCCTGCTGCGCCACAGCCTGTGCCTGGGGGGTTTCCACACCTCCCCATCACAGGCTTTAGGGGTCCCCAAGGTACCAGAGGTTAAGCCCAGCTGATGTTGAGCATGAGCTCTTCAGCCCAGAGCCCTGCCTCCAGCCCCTGCAGGTTTTCTGTAACACATCCAGCTTTTTACACCTCATCATCTACCTTTGAATCTGCTGGAAAATAAGCCCCTGGTTTTGCACTTACAGCAGTTTCCTATTCGCTCACTGGGTAGAAAGCACACACACAACCTGAGAGGGACCCGTCATGAAAGCACCATGAAGAAGAGCATTTTGCCACTGCCACGAGGAGGACACAAGACACTCAAGTGCTTCCCTGCCCCAGGAGGGACAGTGTGAACAGCACATGCTCCTCACAAAGGGCTCACACACACCCCAGGCTCTGAGGCTCTCTGTGGAGCTCAGAGGCTTTCAAACCCAGCCACATTTTAGCCAAGCCAACTGACATCTTCCCAAGGCACCAGCAGGGGAGGGAAGATGCTTCACATTTCTCTGCTGGTTTCCCCCTGTTGTGAGAACAAAGGAGCCACTTCCCAAGCAAGGCAAGGAGTCTGCTGCATCCCGAGGTGAGGCAGGCCACTGCCTCCTGTGGCCAAAACGAACAC